TCCCCCTCCCCTCCCCTCCCCTTCTCTTTCTTTTTTTTTTTGAGATGGGATCTCGCTCTATTGCCTAGGCTGGAGTGCAGTGAGGCGATCTTGGCTCACTGCATCCTCTGCCTTCCAGGTTCAAGCGATTCTCCTACCTCAGGCTCCCGAGTAGCTGGGATTGCAGGCACACCACCACGGCCGGCTAATTTTTGTATTTTAGTAGAAATGGGGTTTCACCATGTTGTCCAGGCTGGTCCCAAACTCCTGACCTCAGCTGATTCACCCTCCTCGACCTCCCAAAGTGCTGGGATTACAGGCATGAGCCGCCGCACCCGGCTGCTGATCTTTTCTTATACATCTTTGCATTTGTACACGTTTGAGTGCAAAAACATTTTTAATATCATTTTTTTTTTATCCTTAGTAGTACCTAGCATAGACTTACAGAGTAGGCCCCAAATAAATGGACGCTGATGACTGTCAGATTGTAGTTTACAAAAATAGAACTAGCTCCCATAGCTATGATAACATGGGCATCAGATTCATGGACTCTGCCTCAAAAGCAAATATGATTGTTTTCCTTTGTTCCAGGAAGACAGCAAGAAGCGAGTATTTTCTGGCATTCAGCCTACAGGAATCCCCCACCTGGGCAATTACCTGGGAGCCATTGAGAGCTGGGTGAGGCTGCAGGATGAATATGACTCTGTGTTGTACAGCATTGTTGACCTTCACTCCATCACTGTCCCCCAAGACCCCGCTGTCCTTCGGCAGAGCATCCTGGACATGACTGCTACTCTTCTTGCCTGCGGCATAAACCCAGAAAAAAGCATCCTTTTTCAACAATCTCAGGTCAGCTTCTCAGATTAGAACTGGGAAAACTTTTATTTGCAGATTATTTGAGGAAAAAATGTTGAGTGGTTTATGTATCCCCTACTTGTGATTTTTAAAAATTGTTTGAAGAGGGCCGGGTGCCGCGGCTCAAGCCTGTAATCCCAGCACTTTGGGAGGCCGAGGCGGGCGGATCACAAGGTCAAGAGATCAAGACCATCCTGGCCAACATGGTGAAACCCCGTCTCTACTAAAAATACAAAAATTAACTAGGCGTGGTGGTGCATGCCTGTAATCCCAGCTACTCGGGAGGCTGAGGCAGGAGAATTGCCTGAACCCAGGGGGCGGAGGTTGCGGTGAGCCGAGATTGCGCCACTGCACTCCAGCCTGGAGCCTAGTGACAGAACAAGACTGTCTCAAAAAAAAAAAAAAAATTGTCTGAAGGTGACTTTTTCAAACGTGATTATCTCACTGTAATGTTTTACTTGTGTTTATATCATTAAGTATCATTATATTGCAAGAGTATCAGCTTTTCCTCCACTGTATTTAGTAAGTTTATGATGCTTCATATACGAAAGAGTTGTGTTTCATTAGTACTTCTAGCCCTGGAATTGTTTTGCGGTGCAGGGTTGCTTTCAAACTGATGACTTTGTGCTATTGACTAATCTCCTTGTGATCAAGGACAGAAATTAGTGACCAATAGTTTTGTGTAATTTCAATGTTACTTTATTAGATGTTGTATTTGGAAGGTCTGTTGGATAATTCCCATTGTTAATTCTCTGTATAATAGTTTTTGAGATGATTTGAGAACAGGTTGGGAAACTGGAAGACAAAGTCCCAGTGTTTTGTGTCCAAGCCAAGAAAGAGTTCAGAGCAAAGCCAAAATATTTGACTCATATCTTCACGATGGATGAATTAGTTTATTCTTGGACAGGCAGATAGTCTGGCCTAGAGACAAGGCAATCAAAATACACCCGAGAAAAAGATGAAAAGTCTAACTAGATCATGCCTTTGTTACGTGTCTGCTTTAATCTTAGGACAAAGCCCAGGCAAGGAATGGGATACATGTTAACGTGTATGCATATATATAACCTTCCTTGATTGTATATTTCTATCATTATTTTTATATATGTTTTGTTACACATAAAACTTAATGTAATGATTCTTACAGAGCAGCCAGTTAAAAATATATGTGATAAATGAAAAGAGTATAATGATCCCTTGGCATCCAAAGAATGTTGGTTCCAGGACCCCCAAAGCTACCAAAATCTGCAGACGCTCAAGTTCCTTCTATAAAATGGAATCGTATTTGCTATAACCTACACATATTCTCTGGTATATTTTAAATCATCTCTACATTACTTATAATACCTAATACAATATACATGTTATGCAAATAGTTGTTATACTGTATTGTTTTTGTTTGTTTTATTTTTCTATTGTGGTATTGTTTTTTTTTTATGCCTGTACACACACTGATTTAATAAGTATGTATTTAAATTTTTAAAATTTTTAGAGATTAGGAGGGTGTATGTGCAGTTTTGTTACATGGGTATGTTGTATAGTGGTGAAGTCTGAGCTTTTAGTGTACCTGTCACCTGAATAGTGAATGTTGTACTCCATTGGTGATTTTTCAACCAGCATCCTCTTCCCTGCTTTTGGAGTCTCTAATGTCTGTTATTCCCCTCTGTATGTCCACGTAGACCTGTTGTTTAGTTCCCACTTGTAAGTGAGAACATGCAATATTTGACTTTCTGTTTCTGAATGATTTCCTTTAGGGTAATGGCCTCCATTTCATGTTGGCCTCCATATTGCTGCAAAAGACATGATTTCATTTCTTTTTATGACTAATCTCACAAGGAGATTAGTCAGCAGCACAAAGTCATCAGTTTGAAAGTATATATATAGTGGTGGTATTATTTTTTATTAGGTTTTTTTCCGAATATTTTCAATCTGCTGTTCAGTGGAGTCCATGGATGCAGAACATACAAATTCAGAAGGCCAACTGTATATTTAAAACATAAATGCTGCTATCAACTTTGTTGCCAGCTTGGAAATAATTTGATAAAATAATAGAATCTGATCATTGAAAGGACCATAAAGGCAAATTACCTCAACTTCGTTCCTTCTATTTGGTCAGGAAGGGTTTACTTACACATGGCTTTTCAAATTCTGTGTTGGATAGATCCGGTTACTATAAAATACTTGCTTTTATTGACCAAATATCTACCTCCGTATAAATTCCATTCATTCATTTAATTTCTGCTTTGTAAAAAACACAATAAATCAACTCTGCTTCCGCACAACTACTCTTCAAATACTTGGAGAGACATTTATTATGTACCATTTGTGTCTTACAGACAGGTCTTTACCCTGTAGGTTCTTACTGAGTAGGTCTTGCCTTCTACAAACTAGCTGTCCCCAGATCTCTCACCTTTGTCATCCTATCTCAAAAGCACTCTTACCTTCTCTGTGAAAAGATTGTGCTTCAAACTTCACATCCCTTGCCAATGCTGGAGAGCTGCTCATCATTAGAGCCACTTTTTGAGTCACCTAATGCATTTTGCAAAGCACATCATCTTCACTTCATCTAAGCTGTTTTTAATACAAGCTGTCTTTTGATCCTTATCTGATAAATTTTTAAAAATTGTATTCCCAGCTACAAGTACCTAGTTTCATACTTCTTGTAGATGAATGTCTAATCTCCACAAAGTAACCACTTGCCAGATTGCTTTTTAAAGTGACCTTTAATATTAAAGGCTTATTTACAACTGCATCCTATTCTTGCACTTTGAGCTCATTCTCTCAGGAACAATTACCATATTATAATTTTTTTTCTGCATTGTAAAGGAGTTTTAGCAGTGACCTTATAAGCATCTAAAATTTGCAATAATTGAGATATCTTCTTCCATGTGGTACTTTGTGGTTCAAAATAGCATTTGAAAAAGTAGCCCACAATATGGGAGGCTTTGTAAAGACTTCCCAATAAAGGAGGAACAAAATCCACCTTCTCTTTAAATAGAACCTAATGAGATCCTTGGCTCCAAGATATTGGGGGTCTGTGTCAGAGAGTGGAAGGGCTGGAGTTGACTGATGTGTGCCCATCTTCTCCTCATAGCCTTAATGCAGTTGTAAAGCTGTTTAATAATTAGCCTCCTGCCATCCCTCACTTCACCTCCATTACGGAGAATTTTGATGGTTTGCCAGCAAAATTGAAGGCAGGCACTCATCTCGCCTACATTATACAATTTGTCCCAAAAGGCAATATAAACATTTTCCTCAGGTGTCTTTGTAATCTAAGATAAACTTGGTTTTAGCCATTTCCTTCTTTGACTCAGGCAGCCAACCTTATTACAACTCTATGCCTAAATGGATGGGATATTTTATCAGGCTTTCTTTCCCCCTTTTATTAAAACACAATTTAATTTTAAAATATTTTAGAAATTTCTAACAATAGAGAGAATAGTATACTGTACTCCTATCCCTTGTTAACATTTTGTTATTTGTCTCACTGATGTGACTTTTCTTTCTTTCTTTCTTTCTTTTTTTGTTTAATAAAGACAGGGTCTTGCTCTGTTGCCCAGGCTGGAGTACAGTGGTGCAATCATAGCCCACTGCAGCTTCGAACTCCTGGGCTCAGGATCCTCCTGCCTTAGCCTCCTGAGTAACAGCTGGGACTACAGGCGTATTCCACCACACCCAGCCTTTTTAAAAAAATTTTTTTTGGAGAGACAGGATCTCACAATATTGCCTAGGCTGGTCTCCAACTCCTGGGCTCAGGTGATCCTCCCACCTCGGCCTTCCCAAGTGTTGTGAATATAGGAATGAGCCACTGTGCCTGGTCGATGTTATTTTCTTTGCTGAAGTATTTCAAAGCAGATACCACATACCATGGCATTCCAGTTCCTAAGTATTTCAGCGTGCCACTATAAATTCAGGAAATTTTCTTACATAACCATAATATTGTAATGGCATCTAACAATGATAATTCCATATTATCATCGAATACCCAAATTACACTGACTCTTCCAAAAATGTCTTTTATAGTAGGCTTGTTTGAGTGAAGGTAATACCAAGGTTCACATATTACGTTTGATTATGGATCTTAAGTCTCTTTTTAAATGCCTTTTGATTTGTTCATCAAATTTTAATATATTTCCTGTAAGGTTAGTCCTATGCTTAAAAAGAATTAAACTTTGATTTTTTTATGCATCCACTTTTTTCCCCTCCCCTTTCATGTATTGATCAAGTTTTTTTGTTTGTTTGTTTGCTCTAAACTTAATTATTTTGAACTTAAAAATAAACCTTACTTTTTAGTTGCTTTCTCTTTATACTAATCTGTGTTCGCTGATGGTTAGTGACGGTAAACTACTGTCCCACATAGTTGCTCATCACCATTTTCATTAATTTGAGTAGAAGCTATGCTTACCTACTGCCCATGGATTGCCTAGAAATTAACATTGGACATCAGCTCCTTTAGAATGGCCATAAAGCTTCAGTTTGTTCATGGATGATGATGGAAAGGCCCTCCTTGTGCCTTGTCTTACAGCCATGAAGGCATGTTGGCTTTTGCTTCTTAGAACCATTTTCAAGTAGAAGTATAAGTGAATAAGCTAGTCTTCTGGAAACAGTTACTATATTAACCACATGACCCCATACTTGCAGAGTTCTAGTAGGTGAAAGATCATCACGGTGATGATTTATGTTTTGTAATACAAAAATCAATAATCAATAACTGGTTTTTTTATTTTTTCTTTTCTTTTTAATAGGCAATGCTGGGAAGATTTTTTTTTCTTTATTTTAAATGGACAAAAATTGCATATATTCGTCATGTACAACATGATGCTTTGAAATATTTTAAAATGGCTAAATCAAGCCATATAACATGTACATTACCTCACATACTTACCTATCTTTAAGTGATTTTCAGGTATACAATACATTGCTATTACCTTTGGTCACCAATTTGTACCACAGATCTCTTGATCTTGTCTAAGTGAAATTTTGTGTCCCTTGTCCAA